AGTAGTTTAGAGAGAGAGATGGAGTTTGAGTTCTAGGGAGATAGAGTTTTGAGAGAGAGAGATGTGAGAGAGAGATATGGAGTTAGGGTTTTAGAAAGCGATGAAGTTTTGAGTGAGAGAGACGATGTGAGAGAGATATGGAGTTTTAGACAGAGAGAGATAGAGTCATTTCATAAGTTGTTGAGGTCAATAATACATGGTAAAAAATGTTTAGAGGGTTGGAAGATAAAAAAGATGGAGTTATTTTGCTTATAAGTAATATTTTCAATTCTTAAGTCTGATAAGATATAGAAGTTAAAAATAAAAGATAATAGGATATTTTTTCAGTTTGTTATTTAAAAAGGTATTGACTAGAAAAGCTTGTTTTCGGGAAATCTTACATGGATGAGGCACCATTATGTAAAGATAAGGCGCAAAAGTTTATATAGAGCCGAGGCTTTAAACAACCAAAATTGAGCCAACAAAAAAAATTCACTAGAAGAGCTTGTTTTGATACCCAAATATCTTCAAATCGATCATCTCGACATCAATATGCATTGACATGAGAAAAAAAATCGATTTCAAGTTTTAAAAATAATGCATTTTGTAACACATTTTTGGACCGTTAATTTTCAAGATTTTTTATAGATTTGTCAATCTATACTATTTTTGAAGCTTTAAAATTTATAAATAAATATGAATATCTATTTTAAGGCTATCACAAAGATTTCCAATATTAAAACTACATTTCTCGACACCATTTGAAGGTAGGCTCTAATTTGATTATTTAGAGCCTAGGTTCTATACAAACCACACCCTTTATTTAATGGTGTATTGGCTAAAAAAGCTTATTTGAGGTAAAAATTGTGATATAAACATTGAGGTGTGATGTCTAAAAAATCGTGTTATTTTTAATTTTTTCGATTTTATTTTTTTATGTTAGTAGGGGAAGAAGGCCGTACCATGATAAGACTTAAGCATAGGACGTGGGGCTGGCGCTAACCAATTAAGCGTGGGCTCTTTTGAGAAGCGGTCGGAGAAGTTATTAGTCCATATACATCTCGTCTGAGCACAAGGAAATGAGAAGAAGATATTTGAAAACGGTGATTATTTTATGGATGTGACGGTGCATGCCTTTGGCATCTTATGCGAGCAGGTCGGCCCCTCTGCCAAATTACACTTTTTATATTTTCCATACGCTCCCAGCTTTGTTTTTTCAACGGTGCAGTTTGCATACGGATGCATCGGTAGGTGTAGAGGCAAGGTCCACCTTCAAATTTTATCGTAGTATGTAATTTTGATATAAAATGTCTTTAAGATTATTTTAAAATTTATTTTTATATTTAATTATAAAATTTTAAATTTAAAAAATAGTTAAATAAAGTAGATCTATAAACATGTGAAAATCTTGAAAATAGAAAGTGTAGATAATATGTTGTAAAATACACTATTTTTGAGACTTAAAATTTTTTTATTTTTCATAGTCATACATGTCGAGATCAATCAAAGGGTTTTTCAACATTAAAACTACCTTTTCCGATGGATTTTTGAAGGGCATCTATAATTCTACATTATAAGGTAGCATCCTTATATGAATGTTCTCCTTGATTTATTACATTATAGAGGTCATATTGATGAACTTTTCATTTTTTAGTTTTTATTTTTTTATCTTTCTACATATATTTTTTTGGGTAATTCAATGGCGAAGATAGGTCACTACTCGTTTTTTTCAATAGAATAGAGAGTTACATTTTTTAAAGTCTTTTTACATATTAAAAGTCTCCATGTTAGAGATTATACATATCTAATAATTTAGGTCCAAATTCCATCTTAAAAATTGATCAAAAAGACGGGCCACATATCTACATATGAGTCCTACAATTCATAGAAACCTAGTCCAAAGGAAAATGTGGACCTCCCACTGTGTGGGTTTTTCTTGTAGAAATTTGTCAAAATATCTATAAGAAATAAGGGATGATTCTTCACATTTGAAGCAATTCCAACTCAAGATCTTTTTTTTTTTTTTTTGAGTATTTTGAATTTGAAGTCAAAGATATATGTAAACTGTAAAGTGTTAAATGGTCCATCTTTTATGGATAATTTCATACATTTTTTCATCTTTAAAACACAACCTTTCTCAAAATATCTTGTACTTTTGTTCTAAAAATAAATGTCACTTTTGCTAGAGTACGCATTCATTTTTCACCACTTTTGGGGTTTTCAGACCTCACGATATGTAAGATATTTCTTTTTTGGAGTTATAAAAAAGGGAACTCCAAAGAAAGTAGTAATTATGAAAAAATGAGGGGTCATTTTTTTAGGATTCATGAGATGTAAGAATTTTTCTTTTAAAGAGTTAATAAATAAATTAGACTTGAAAATAAATCCAAGCCATTAAGAAATGCAAAGTTAAAAAATATATTTTTGAACATAGTCATGGAAAAAGGAACTTCAAAATAAATCCAAGTCATTGAGAAAAATAGAGTTAAAAATAAATAAATCCAATCCATTAAAAAATATAGAGTTCAAAAAATATATATTTTAAGAGTGTTGTGAAAAAAATAACTTTAAAATGAATCCAAGTCATTAAGAAAAATTGAGTTAAAAAAATACACTCCATGTAGGAATGGAACTCACAACCTCGGATTTAAAAATCCGGTGAAAATGGAACTGATATCCTCCTTGCATTTAAAAATCAATTTAAAAATCCAGCACTAACCAGCATGCCAAATATAAATACGGTGAAAAATTAGTGGCCTTAAGGGAATTGGATAGTGCGAGCGGACAAGCTTCCACGATGGCATCAAACGCCTACCGAATAATGGGTGCCACTTATTATATACGTGCAATTTATTTTTCGTGACTTTCTTTTTTTTAACCAAAAAAAGAGCATGACTCAGGTTAACTCGGACACACCCGAGTAAATCGCCTCGACAAGGGCCAAGTAGCTTGGCCGAGTCAATGTTTTTGAACCTTAGCCATGATATTATAACAAATATAAAATTGATATTTTTTATATAATAAATCTGGGTATTTCCATTTTAATTGGGTCATAGTCATTGTTTGGGAAACCACCTGATCTAACCGGTAACTGCCCGGTTAGATAAGAACCGGCCCCTTGTCAGTTCCGATTTTGAGCAGTTTTGGTAATCGGCCATTAATTTAAAAATAAAAATTTTAAAAAAAGGTCTATAAACTCCCAATAATAAGGAATTTGATTTGTAATACATTTTTTAATATTTTTTATAGTATGGTAACTATTAAAAATTTTTTTGGTCATTAATATTCACTTTTAAATCTATTTTTTCATTAATTTTCAACTTCATTTGAATGTGTTTTGTTTTAATCATTAGATTTCTTTTTGCATCTTTATTATATTTTTCAACAATTTTTTGGCCCCTCGGGACTTGCCCGGTTTGAACGGTTGAATCGGCCCGTTTACTGCTTAGGCGGGTTAAACTGCTTCTGGCCCCATGTTCGGTTAACCTTTCGGTTCGATTTTGTAAACACTGGTCACAATTTCTAAAAGAGAATGGGTTTTTATAGATAGAAAGAGAGATTGGGTTTTTAGAGAGAGAATGAATTTTTCGGGAAGAAAACGAGATTGGTTTTCGAGAGAGAGAATGAGTTTCAAATTTTATAAAAAAATATTTCAGCATGTATTTATTTTTATTTTATATTTTCCTTACCACAAACAATAAAATTTTTGAAGAGTGCAAAAAAAAAAAAACACAATTGTAAAATGGACCGAGCCAATCCTTATTGAACCTGGAAATGACATTTTTTAGCTTATTGGGCCATCCCATACCACTGGGCAAAATTCCAGGCTTTTAAGGCCGACCCGTTAAAAATGAAGGCCGACCCATTAAAAATGGGGCCCGATAAGCCACGAATACCCATGTTGGGTGGCCCGTTAACAACCCGTTAGAGGTATGCCTGGCCAGGAAGCCCAAAGCCTAGCCCTATCCATTACCAGCCCTATCTCTAAGGGAGACTAACCTTTAGAGTTGAAACATAAAGGAATCGGCAAGATAATTTCTTTTTTTTTTTTGACAACGTTCCAATTTTATTTATAACAAGCTCACAATTACATCAAAGAAACAACAGAATCAGCAACCACTACAGAGTCTAAAAGTACTCCTCTCTTGGCCAACGAATCAACCACTGAATTTGCCTCCCTATACATATGTTCAAAGGATAAAGATAGCCCCACTATCAAATCAAAAATCTGCAGGCCTATAAATTTAAGTTGCCAAGGGAAACATTGTTCTTTCTTGCACCAATTAATAACATTCATCGAATCTCCTTCAATAATAAAGCCATAACCAGATAACCTTGCCAACAAAATTTTCAATCCATGTACGAGTCCCAATAATTCAGCATTGTTAGCAGTAGTTGAGCCACATGGACCTGCATAAGCGAGTAACATATTACCTTGCCAATCATGAATCACACCCCCAAAACCCGTTGAGCCTGGATTCCCCAGAGTACTGCCATCAAAGTTAAACTTTAAGACTCTCCTGATCAAGTGGCTTCTATCTAGCACAATGTCTATTTCTAGGCACATCCAGCTGAAATAGATTCGAAAGATTAATCAGAACATCAGTTTTAGAAATGCCCCTCCCTTCTTTAGTATTAGAGATCCAAGATCAGATAGATAACTTGATGTTACTAATCACTTTCTCAAAATTGTTCACCTTCCCTTCAAAAGTTCTCCGATTCCTCTCCAACCATACTTCCCATAGAATAGCTCCCCGTAAAACTTTCCAAATATGTCCCCCAAGCTTGGGCAGAGGCACATCCATTTGAACAATCAAATCCACAACATGTAACGGCAACATTAAATTGATCCCCATCATGTGAAAACACCACCACCAAATTTTGGAAACAAACGAACAATGTATAGAAAGATGCGTACCCGTTTCTCCATCCGCCTTACACATTAAGCATATGTTCGTAATTATCTTCCTCCTCTTAATGAGATTATCCACCATAAGGATTTTATCCTGCACCACTAACCATAAAAATACTTACACCTTATGAGGGACTATCTATTTCCAAATTTGCGAAATCTTTGGTAATCTCCATCTTACTCTATCGAAAAAGAGAAGTCTGTAAACAGATCTAACAAAAAACTGCGCATTATTATTTAACTCCCAAACTAATTCATCAGCAAGATGAGGACAGATTACCACCAGATTGAGATCCTCTAACAACTTGATAAACGGTTGATAAAGATAATTAGGAATTCTATCATAGGGGAAAGAGATATTCCAATTAACCTTGTCTCCTCTCACTTCAGCCAGTTCTGCTACAGAAACATTAGGACTACTAACCTTCTCATAAAGAAGATGATAAACATATTTTAACGGCATTTTCCCCAACCACTTATGGTTTCAGAACGAAATCAAAGCCTCAGACCTAGGAAACCATCTGACATTGTGGTCAACCACTTGTTTTAACGCATAAATATCTCTCCCAGAGATGAAATATTTTCTCTTCCACTTTTCCTCTTGATCCATATCCCAACATTATCGACTCCATATTTAGACACCAGCACTTTACACCATAGCTGATCTTTAGAATAAATACTTCGCCACCACCATTTGCATAACAGTGCATCATTCATAAATGACAAACGTCATAATCCAAGACCCCCTTCACCCTTATCTCACATGCTTCATTTTTTCACTAAAAGAGCCCCACAAAAAGTTGCACATCATAAATTCAATCCGTCTAATCACACCCTAGGCATATGCTTCAACAACATCTGATATATCGCTCAGCTAAGGCTTCAATTAACTTCAAATTAATGTGGGATCGAGCCACCTCAAATACCCCGACCAAACATGAGATGGATAGAGAACTCATGAGTTTGGGCCAATATTTGGCCGATTCATACCATGCTGAAATTTGAAATACCCTTGAGAACGTTTATTGAGGAGCAACTACCCTTATGGGGAGCATGGTCCTTGGAAGCCATGAAAAATGGCAGGACAAAAGGAAACAAGCAAAGAAGAAAGAAGATCAAGAGCAAGAAGAGATTAGGTCAAGAGCACAAGGGTTGAGAATCCCCTCCACAAACCCCTCTTATAAACCTCGATCCAGTTTTCTCAAAGCAAATTAATAAAAAGGGAAATTTACGTACAGACCCGATTTTTCTACCATTATAATGGAATGGCTCAAAAATATGTTGTTATTATCTGGAATGATTGATCTCCGAATTTTTTTATTTTTTTCAAATTTGCTTCGGTCCGATGTTGCAAACAACGGACCGCTTGTAACCCAATATTTTTGCTGAGTTCGCCCCTGATATTTCATGCTCGTGCGATTGACGGAAAAAAACATAAGTTCCTAATGTTTTCTTTGTGTTTAATATTATGTCATTATTACGCTCCCTTTTCCCTCTCCCTTTCTCTGATCCGGATTGGAAACATGTGGCCGATCTAAATGTGGGTTCATGCGAGACCAGAATCTGTAGACAAGCAGATATCCTGTAATGATGAGAATGCATTTGACTCGCGGTAAAAGTCCCTTTATGATGATGGTTGTGGTATCTCTATGTAGAATTAAATATGCACCTAAAATATCCATCGAAAGATGTTGTTTTAATGTTGAAAAACCCTCTAATCGATCATGTCGACATCAAGATGTATGAATATAAAAAAATAAAATATTGATTTTGAGTCCCAAAAATAGTGCATCAACTATAAAATTTGAAGCTCAAAAAATGGGATTGATCTTGCAAATCCATGAACTCTTATTTTTAGGGCGAAATAGATGGTCTTGATAATATGCTATAATGTATATATACTATATTAAAAACTTGCGATCCGAAATTTGTTTTCACATCTATAATGGTCAAGGTTGAGATGATTATTTGAAGGCTTTCCAATGACAAAACTACAATTGTTGCTAAGTTTTGTTGGTAGCCTTTACTTATTTTGATAGGGTTGTAGCCCAGTCCAAATATTTTCCCCTTCTAAATGTTAATTATATGACTTCGTTGGTTGTTAACTTAGGAAAAACCCATTTTTTTTAAGGGAAAAACCCATTTTTTTAAGGGAAAAATTCGTATAGATATCTAATTCTTCGTATTATTTCATAGTAGACCCTCCTTCCGTTTTTCAAGTGGCATAAAAAAGCTCTTAAATATTTCACCATATCCCCTCATCTCTTATCTCCCTCTTTTATTGATTTTTAATCATAAAAATTAGTCCTAACAAATCTTTTTATGTCATTTCAAACCAAAAACCTTTTTAATGGGTGGAAAGGGAAAAAAATGGTAAAAAAGGTTTTTGGGATGAAATAGTATAAAAAGATTTATTGGGTCTAATTTTTATGGCCAAAAGTTAATAAAAGAGGGAGATAATAGATGATGGGATTCGGTGAAATCCTTAAAGATTTCCTTATGCCGCTTGATAAAAAAAAAGAAAGTCTACCATGAAATACTATGAGAAATTAGAGTTCTATACGAAATTTTCATTCTTTTTAATACCTCACTCCCTTCAAATCGTGGTTTTCAAGGTAGGACAATACCAATATGAACCACAATGGTTAACTTACTAAAATGGGCCAATAATAATCATAAGAATAAAGCCAAAAGCTTTTATATTCTCAGCATACTATCTATTTACTCCCTTAGGTAAAACCAAGCCTAGGAGCAATTTTAAGATCCCAAAATTTGGGATTAAAATCTTCGATCCATAGACTAACCTCAAAAGAGAAAAAAAATGCTAAATGCACTCTCTATGTACCTTAAAAAAAAGTAATATTTTAAGGTTAAATAGAGGCTGTCCAAATTTTTGAGGATGAGATCTAACTTTTAAAAAATTCAACTATTTTGTTCGAAAATAATCCTCTAGTTATCCTATGGTGGTTTCCAAAATTTCAAATTCAAAAAATTCTTTCAGGTCTTTTGCCTAAGGGAGTAGATGCACAGTACGCTCTAGCAGAAGCATAGCAAAAATAAATAGGGAAAATGACCTCTAACCCCCTCCTTAAACTTTCCCCTGGGTTAACCAAAAGCCCTTGCACCATCTCAAGTTTTAAATTTTGGGACCATTAGCCCCCTAATTATATTTTTCTTTGTTCTTTTATAAATTTGATCTATTTGTCTTATAAAATGCCAAACCCATACATTAGCCATCCATATTTTTTTTTGTGATTTGATATATAAAATTTATTGATGATAATAATTTATAATTATTATAATTAACTAATAATTATAATAATAACAATAATAACAACAATAATGTCTTAATATTAATTGTTAAATATTTCATCTCTTATAAGTATTTTGATTAAAGTTTTTTAATAAATAAACAAAAATAACCATGAACATTAGTAACAAATATCTTGATTAATCATTTTTCAAGTTCAAACGATATTGTTATACTTGTAAAATAGGTCACAATGTTAATTTTTTTTAATGTCTAAATTTATAGAGTGGGATCCATGGAGGTAAGATTGGTTTTAGGCAACGGAAGAGAAAGGGAAGGGTAAATTTTATAAAATAAAAAGATCAAATTTGTAAACAAAAATTTGAAGAAAAACACAATTAGGGGGCTAACAGTCCCAAAATTTTAAATTTTTGGGGGTACAATGGAATTTGGTGAACCCAAAGGGGCTAATAGAGATGGAAGTTTCCGGGAAGGGGGTAAAGATCATTTTCCCAAATAAATAAGCAGAATGAAGAATAAATTTTAGGTGGCAAATAAGACCAAAAATTCTCTAAGAAAATAGGTTTTGCAGCTTCCCCATAACGTAGGTGGATTAGAACAAAAGGACATCCACCACCTATTAGCATTGATGCTAATTCGAACATGATTCCAAATTAAACACTGTAATTTCCATCAAATTTGGGCTTTCCTTTTGGTAGCTATCGTGGTACAATTTGTTTGACAAAATGCCCTAAGAAAGGACGGCCCTTTTGGCTCCATTTAAATAATGGTAGAATTTTGACTACGAAACAAGTTCTCCTACACTAGAATTAAGCATGTGTAAATTCAACTGGACTTATTTCAAGAACTTTCACTGGATTTTCCTCTAGATTTGAAGATATTTGAACAAGGAAAAAGGGAGCTATTGTTTTAAGATTGTTTGAAGACTAGGTCCTTCTAGAGTTTGGAAACATCCAAGAAACTTTTGAAAACATTAATGTAATAGGGAATGTGAAATTGCTTGCGATATTTTTCCATTTCAAAATGAGGAAATGCATTTTTTATTTTTAATTTAGGAGTTGTGTTTCAGCTTGATTGATTAGTTGTTGACTTGGGTAGGTACGATTCTGAACTACCCCAATCTTCTCCGAGTAACAGAAAGTTATTTTTTTAATAGAAAAAATTTATATAAGGTTGCAACTTTAAAGCATAGAATTACTAATGCATATAAAAAAATCCATTAGAAAATGTTATTTTAATGTTGAAAAACTCTTTAATTGATCATTTGGACTTCGAGATGTATGAATAATAATAAACAAAAATTTTAAATCCCAAAAATTGTGCATCTTACAACATATTATTTAGACCATCCATTTTCAAGATTTTCATATATTTATAGATCTATTTGATTTTAACTATTTTTGAAGTTTAAAATTTTATAATTATATATAAAAATAGTTTTCAGATAATTCTAAGAATTTTTTACACAAAAATTACATGT